ATGTGCAATTAAACCATGGCAACATCTAATATTTGTGTAGTATTATGTTCAGCAGACTGTGTTCTTCCATTGTTGTGACTTAGATGACATTCAGAGCACATTGTATGCCCAATTCATGCAAAATGCCACGTAATCCCAAGGGGTTCACATACTTTTTCTTGCAACTGTAAATACAATGAAGTTAATACTCATCACCATGTTGCAGCATCAGTCTGATGCTGCTGCTGCTGTCTAGAGATATGCACAACAGAAAAATTTGTTTTTGTCATATTCGTTATGTTAGAATGATTTGTTTTTGGAATTCTTTTGCCATATTTGGATTTTTTTCATATATTCGTTGTTTACAATCAATTCGTATTTTTGGATGTTATTGCGGAAGATTGGTTGTATTCATTTTAAAGTGTTAATTCATTATTTCTGGAGACTACTTATGCACTCTGAGTCATCCCTGCTAGTCAAATTTACAGAGAAATGGAATGAGCTGACTGGACAATATCGTCTGGAGTCATGAGCAATCGAAAGTAATGATGAATGAAATTCATTTTGGATTCATTCATTATGTTATGATCAGGGGCCGACTGACCATTCGAGCACTCGGGCACTGTTCAAGGGCCTGGGGTCAGTAGGGGGCCCCGTGAAATGCCTCTGGTACCTTTTATAGGCTTTTTTTGGGTGTGCTTTGAGTGTGGGCAAGGACACAGGGGCCCCATGATCCCCTATTGCCCAGGGGCCCCATGAGTTGTCAGTCCACCCCTGGTGATTCAGAAATTCTGATGGATCCACCTCCATCCAACTCAAACACAATCATCATCACAGTTTGAATCATCATCTTATTTCACTTTTATAGCTTAATGTATTTATTGCAATATGTTTCCATTTCATATGTAGTGTATTTTTATAAAATAATGAAAAAAGTTGAAAAATGCAAAAAGAATCGGCTGATTATCCAAGAGTTAAAGACTACCACACCACTTTCATCTGAATAAAAAGAATGAATCCAAATTAATATGTGTTGCTCATTCATTTCCCTATTCCCAACTGACTTAGTTTGTTGGGTAGCACACATGCAAATTGATTGAATGGTCTCTCAAGTTCAAGCCCAATACAAAAAGAATCTTATTAGAATATTCACACTATGCTCACTAGAATAAAAACAAATGTATCCAAATCAATTTGGATCATTCCTTATGTCCTTACTTTATTTTGGATGCTTCAAACATTGGCAAAAGGCCCAAACTATCATATCACGTCATCCAACAATTCATATGAAAGAATTTGTTGTTTTCGTTATAATTTATTTCAGATTTATGGACATTGATTACTATTGTGATTTGGAGATTCAGATGCATTCCAATCTCCGAATAACAAACATTTTGTCTGAATATCGATTCGTAACAAAACAAATCTCACAAGTCAACAGTTGTTCCCTGTCAGTTCTAAGCCTGAGAATTGAGCATTCACATGACTGCTGAAGACTTCTCAGTGTTTTCAGAGTGGAGAGCGGTGGCTCAGTCATGTACTGAAAACAGTAGCCAGCTGTCAATCAGGAAGCTGGGTGGATCCAGACAATATAGTTAGGACCCTTCCAGAGCCTGGAGCAGCTTTGTGGTGTCAGCTGATAGCGGTTTATAGGCTGCAGTCACAGGAGAGCAAATGTATGTGCAGTCCTGTGACCCAGGGGAAAAGTATGGCCAAAACAGCTTTGACAATATTTCTGTTTTAATTGTTGTTAACCACTTACCCTCCTGAGGATTTACCCCACTTCCTGACCAGGCCATTTTTTGTGTTACGACACTGCATTATTTAACTAACAATTGCGCAGTCTTGCAACGCTGCACCCAAATTAAATTTGTGTCCTTTTTTCCCCCACGAATTGAGCTTTCTTTCGGTGGTATTTGATTGCCTTTGCGGTTTTTATTTTTTGCGCTATAAAAAAAAAAAAGAGACACACACAATATTGAAAAAGAAACAATATTTTGGACTTTTTGCTATTAAGTATGTCCAGTAAAAAAATCAAATTTCGTCATACATTTACGCCAAAATGTATTCTGTGACATCTTTGCTAAAAAAATCCCAATACGTGTAAATTAATTGGTTTACGTGAAAGTTATAGCGTTTACAAATGGCTGTATAGATACTGGGATTTTTTTTTCTACTAGTAATGGCGGCGATCAGCGACTTTTAGCGGGACTGCGGCAGACATTCTGACACTTGGGGGGAACTGACTTGGTGTCACTGACATCCCCAGTGACACCAATACAGTGATCAGTACTAAAAAAAAGCACTGACACTGTACTAATGGCACTGGGCAGGAAGGGGTGATCAAAGGGTTAACAATGTGTAGGGAATGTTTTACTAGGGGGTGAGGGGGGTGTGCTTCACTGTAAGCACACTGCTCTGGATGGCTGTGCTGTGCACAGCCATCCAGAGCAGTGTACCCAAGCCGACAGGTAAACAAAACAGACTTCCTCCCCGTCGGAGATGCTCGGTAATCACTGGGCGCCGGAGGGTAATTACCGACTGGGACCCAGTGATTGACAGCTGCGGTCACGAATGGCGGCGTGAATAGGGCTCACACACGGCTCGTGCACGCTCCCTACCCGGAAATGCTAAATCACGTATATATACGTGATTTTGCACACCCCTGCGGCCCTGTAGCAGTATATCTTCTATACGGCGGTGTTTAACCAAAACTTTTTTTTTTGCTTAGGATAGAATAGGGAAGGGTGAAAAACCTTCTCAGTTGTGTTTCCTCTGTTATGGTCCCATTGGGGTGAATTCTCCTCACTCCCTGTGTTGAAGAGGAAGTCTTTCCAAAGTCATGGGATTTGCCTTTTTAGATAGTTGTCACCAGAACAGGTTTATCTATTGGAGGATTGATCACCAGAGGAGAATCTTCCTAGTGGGGTACAGACAGACAATACAACTTGGAAGGTGCTTCAATCCTACCCTTTTCTATCCAAAAGAATGTGTAAACCCAACATTTCATATTCCAGATATGTGCCTGCTGTACCATGTACCTGTGTGATAAAGCATCCTGTTCTCTTTGAATTGCTTCCTTTGTGTGAAATCATTAGGGGTTCCTGCTAGTCTCTCTGCTTTCCTATTAAAAACTGACCACATTAGGAAGGAGAACACACTGTGGTCAGTTCTCTATCTGTAATGGGAGCTCAGCCTGCTCTCTTCCAATGATCAGACTTGTCCTTACACACTCCCCCTGCACAGCCATTCACTGTAAATATTAGTATGCTGCTGTTTCTCCTCCCCCAGCTCTTATGCAGCAGAGAACAGAGGGTATGTGATCACTTATAAAAAAAAGGGAAAAATAATGTTTTTTATATCTATACATAAATGTTTTGCCTTTCATAACTATTTTAAACTGAATGGGTTGTTTTACAAGGTGAGAGTTTACAATTACTTGAAAGTAATAGTTTAAACTTATGGATATACTTTAACCCATTCTCTCCCAAGAAACATCATTAAATCGCTGATCTGCAGCACGTTATTTATCCAGTGCCATTTATAGATTGCACTAGATAAATAGCCATTAGGTAGAGGTTCTGCCCAGTAATCTATGTGTACCAAGCTGTCATTAGAGGCTCAGTATACAGAGACACTGTACTGAGCTGATCCAAGGGGCTGGGTACCATGTGACCACTGTGATTGGTTATTACTGCAATCACATTCTATTGTTATGGTGCTGATTCCTCCCCTTCCTCTTACAACTGGGCAAAGGGAGAGATCATAGTACTTGTCAGTGGGGAAATAATTAAATAATCAGCAGCTGCAGGTCATTCATTCTATTTCCCTGACACAAGGATTATTTTTTAACCCTTTCATACCCTCTTCCTCTCCTATATTCTTATCTTTGTGATGTCTCGAGGGACCTACATATTAACCTGTTTCCTCCTTTATCCCACAAATTTGAATATTAACCTCTTCATATTCATCCTGCCACTGCATTTGACCAGTACATTATCCCTTCATTTCCTCCTTCCCCTGTATATGGCATTTAATGTATTAAGTATACCTTTCCCAAACTCTGTGTTAACCCCAATATTACCATGTTTCCTAATTTCCAAAACAATGTGGAAACAAAATTAGATAAGCTTGGAGTGTCTGCTTTCCAAAAAAGGCTCACTTTGAGGATTGTCATTCTATCTTGGCATTTTATTTTAGCAGAAAGTAATTTTTTCCAAACTTTTGTGCTTATTTCCTTTTTATGGTAATAAACAACGGTCCTGGGGAAATCACAATGCTTGGAAAGATGTATTGCAGGGGTCCTCTTGAGCGGCAGAGCTGAAGTAAGAAGAGAAAAAGATCACCTGACTGCAACGCAATGTTCATACAACCTTCAGCCAGGGGCCGACTAACAACTCATGGGGCCCCTGGGCAATATGGGATCATGGGGCCCCGTGTCCTAGCCCAAACTCAAAAAAGCCTAGGAAAAAGGTACCAGGGGCATCTCATGGGGACCCCTACTGACCTAGGGCCATTGGGCAGTGCCCGAGTTTCCAAATGGTCAGTCCGCCCCTGCCTTCAGCTTAGTAAGGAGTACCAGGAGTGGTGCTCTGATTTGTCTCCCCCTGCACCTGGGCCAGAGCCCAAGCTCAACGTGAGGTCCACCATAAGTTGATAAAAATGGCCATAAGCCCATTTTTCCTGCCAGGGAGAGGGGTGAAGGACAAATTGCCATGGTTTTCCAGGATGTAGAGCGTCATGCAAAAGAGAGTCACCTTGGAGTATGGGTATATACGTGACTTTGCGCAGCCCTGCAGCCCTATAGCAGTAGTTCTGCTATAGGACAGCAGGGAAGCAGTTAGTATCCATGCAAAATACACATAAACATACATAACAGAGTATTGAAAGATGCATAAATGTGCCAGCACATGGAAAAGCATATGTGGTAAATTGCATCCTAAATGCATACCACTTGATATGTAAAAGGGTCTTTTTTTAATTTTTTATTTAGCAGTATATATGTTTTATTTTCAACAAAATTACAAAGCTGCTGCAAGGCCAATTGATGCAAGTTTATAAGGCATACTAGTGCAATCTTCTAGCTTCACGTTGAGATTAAACAGTGTCATTACATCTCCCTCACGAATCGGGCCCTTTACATTTCTTGTGATGAAGCGGTTGGTATCATCCATGAACTCAACACGGACCTGAGTACACTGTCCCTGAGATCCAGTTCTCCCAAGAACTTTAGTTATCCGAGCAAGCTTGATTGGCTGCACACAGCCTGTGTCCATGATGGCGGATTAGAGCAAGAAAAGAGCGTGTAAAAGGGTCTTTAATTGATGAAACATTTCTTTTCATCACTGATCAGCGCAGCGCTGGTAGTTTTTGGAACAGCTGCCGAGGTGCAGAGAGCTATGCACTATGCTAAGGCCTCTGTCTAAACTGGTTAACCCTTCATCCCCAACCCTTAGGCCACATTCACACCCGTGAAACCTGTCATGTTTTTTTTCTGTGCTTGCTGAGCGACAGTATAGAGCAACCCATTTACCTGAATGGGCTGCCCTATACATGACAAAATGTGCCAAAGTAGCTTCCACAACTTTTTTTGCCAATGAGCCTTGCACGTTTCTGCTACCCACATTTTGGTTACCATTTTTGCATTTTTTCTGCTTTCCTGGAATACACAGGTGTGCATAGACCCTTACACAAACGTCCCCTGTAACCATAGCTGTAACCATAACCACAACCCTAATCCTTCCACTAACCGTCCCTGTAGCCCTAACACTCACCTTCACATTAACTCCACCTACCTGTTGTCCTGTAAAACTAATCCTCTCTAAAACCTTAACCCTCACTCTAACTGTATCCCTATCACTACCCTTACACTAACTCCCTGTACCTATTACACTACCATCACACTAACCTACACTAGACCTAACACTAAATCTAACACCAGACCTAACACTGCCCTTCTCTGTAGCCCCAACCCTAACCTTTACACTAACCATCTCTTTAACTGCAATACAAACCCAGACCTAACTAATGTAAATTTAATTCTTTTAGCTTACTCACCTTAAAGCAGGATTATCTTTGCCAAAGACAAACCTGTCCTGCACAAAAAATATACTGGTACTAAAGTCCATGGTCCAGAATATCATAATTTGCTACAGTTGCAGAGACTAATTTAGAGTTACAAAACAAACATTAAAAGTAAAATCCAGCACTCTGTACAAATGTTAAACTGTTCAAAAATATTCTATTGCTTAAAATCTGGCACAAATGACCATTGATGATTTCTTGCAGCTACTTTTTTGTACATCTTCCTTCCAACAAAAATTCTATATTAACAAGGAAAGAGGGAAAATTAACCCATTTAAACACTGTTGTAAATTCCCTGCAGCACTAGGTAGGTCTGTACCTTTCAATTACCGTTGCTTCTAAGATTACAAAGAATATTTAATACACTGCAATTCTCTTGGTCTCCAAAGGCTTAAGAATGTCAAGCTCCATAACACAAGAGCTAGTTTTCTTCGCTTGTAATTTAAAACATACAGTACAAATGTTGCCACTTTATCAAGCTGCGGCACTAAACATTATTGTTACAACCTGCATAGTTTATAGTTCTCTCAATAGAGCTTTATTAAAATTGTCTTTAGAGTAGCTTAGCTGATTATATTCTGTCTCAGAAATGAACATGCAAATTTATTATAACTAGTTAACTTTTTTTCTGAAAGAAAATATTTTAAAGTTCCTGCGTGATCTTATTTGATTTTTATTGTGTTGTTTTTTATTAGAGTTAGGCTGAAGAAAACTTAAGCTCCTATGTTCTTTTTATAATCTACTTTAGATAAATCATATGTCAGAGTGCAAAATCAGATGCATTTCTATGGAATGCCATTCAGCCACGCTTATAGAATGCAAATTAGGCAAGCATTAGGTAGGAGTGTTGTTAGGATTGTGAAAGATCTGAGGCACCTGTGTACTGGTCTCCAGAGTATGTAAAACAGAGAATGCAGCACTCAAGTGAGTATCACACCGAGTGTAGGGGGCAGAAGCATGTAATGGACATAATGCAGGGATTAGGAGTGCAGAACTACAGAGTGTATTGGGAAAGAGTAAAGGGGTCCAGGGTGAGTATTACACATAGTGCAGAGGTCCACAGTGGGTAATACAGAGAGTGAAGGGATCAGGAGTGCACAACGCAAAGAGTGCACTGATTAGACTTGCATATTGCAGAGAGTAATAGGGTCAATAGTGGGTGTTGCATAAAGTGCAGGGGTCACGAGTGGGTATCACAAAAGGTGCAGTGGTCAGAAGTGCATAACACAGAGTGTGCAAGGGTAAGGAGAGTGTAACATACAGAGTGCAAGGTTCAGGAGTACATAACACAAAGAATGCAGGGGTCAGGTGTGTGTAAGGCACAGAATTCAGCTAGTCAGGAGTGCATAACGCATAATTAGGAAAGCAGAAAGTCGCACACTGATAATATTAGATCACATCCAAAGTTATTAAAGCTGGACAAAGCAAACTGCGGCCAGCCTAGGACTACCCCTCTGTTACATTCTATCCAGTAAAGGCTTGCTCAGAGAGATGTACATTAAATGAACAGTAGTAATCCTCCCAAGTCCCAATCTCCACCAGTACAGAGCCCCCAGCAGGGACCCCCTCCCCCCAGTTTAGGTCCCCCAACCAACCAACTCAGACCCTTCCAATAAAGATCCCTTAGTATAGACCTCCCCTTCACAGCCCACACCCCAAGTTCAGATTTTTTCAGTAAAGAACAGCATGGATTCCCTCAGAAACTCTCTCTCCTCACTTCCTATAACTCACACAGCAGACCTCAAATGCAGCGGCAGTCCAGAGCAAAAGGAAGGCTTGTAGGCACTGGCTAGTCCATTTAGGTAGATGAAAAACACTGAATGTCCTATAGGTAGCAAAATGCTTTTATTTTTATCTTATAGAATTTGGAGATGGGTACAACCTGCTCCTGCCCACATGCATTACAGTGATAACAGGCTACATGTGTTTTTTCAAAGGGAATAATTCCTAATTGTTGCTGGCTGCAATTATTTTTTTCACAGGTCTTTTTTTTTTTAATGGTGACAATGGTGAATATGCCTGGGCAATGTATGTGCATCCACACAGAAGCTAATAGTTTCCTTTGGAAGAATATGTGGAAGGGGGATTTACAGGCAAGAAATTGTGAGAGAAAAGAACTGTCACCCATAACACAAAATGCCCAAACAAGGACCTTTAAATCAGGATCATTAGCTGTTCGTGTTTCATAAAAGCTATCTACTTTAACAAACTATGCTTAAATTCTTTAAATTATAATGCTGGGGAACATTTTCCTGAGTTTCCTGCCTGTGTGCTTAGATCTGTACATACAAAAATCTTTTTAAGGGCCAATATCTGTCTGCAACAACTGATAGCTAGCTTTTTCATTCCTCAACACCTTAGCTGCAGTGTGCACCAAAAGCACAGCACACTCTCACCCCAGTTGCCCACAACCCCTTGCCATATCCACATACCTAGAAAGCGTTTGTTCCTTACTTAGAAAACGTACATTTCTGACACCCAGTAGTCCATAGACATGATCACTTGTAAGCCCTTTAGTTACAGCCTTGCCGCCCCTGCTAATGTCTGCTTGACCAGGGCAGGGATTGCGTTACAAGTTAGTGATGGTGGGTGGGAAAATATCAACGTCTGGACCAGTGTCTGATTCTCAGCACTATCAAAGGTCAGGTTTCTACCTCTTTTGGCTTCTTACTTGGTTGAGGCTTAATTAAGACCTTTGTACATAGAGCCTCTCATGTAGCTCACTCTGTTCACTCCCCTGTGACTCTTTGGCATCTGGTTCGCTCTAAGCTTCAGAAACAGTCTTTTGAAGGGATTCCTCTCTCTGCTCTCACCCACAAAATGGTATTCCTTGTAGCTGACACCTCTGTGAGGTGAGTATTTAAGCTGGCAGCCATATCTTGCAAGGAACCCTTTATTTTTTTTTGCATAGGGGCAAGATGATGTTGAGGCATAGGACTTCTTTCTTGCCTAAGGTAATATGTATTGCTATCGCTGCCTGTGTATACTTAACCAGGGCATGGTCGGCCTTATGAGGAAACAATATTTAAAGAAATGTAAAAAGAAATGAAAAAAGATCTATAGAAATACAGTATATAACTCAAAGTGAATTCATATTACACATAAAAGGCATACATATCAATTCATCTGCAGTGGAATATATTCATATACAACACAAAAAATCCACATAAATTGTGAAAAGCACAAATCAGATACAAAGTGACAAATATATACCAAATGTTCAGTGTAAAAATAATATGTTTGCCTGTCCAGTCCAATATCACTGTGATCATAAATATATATACAAAAAGCTCCAATACTCAGTGCTCCTGTGAATACACCAATCTTCAATAATGCCACAATGGTGCTCTTTGCTTTACCACTCTCCAATAGACAAACTCAAGAAAGCTGCATGCCTTTCTTGTATGAGATTGGCATAAAGTGCTGCTCAGTTCTGCTGGTTCCCACCTTTCACAGTGCTCTTTCCTTCTCCCTCCTTTGCTCATATTCCATGAGATTATGTATAGAAATAAAGTAAACTTATAGTGTAATACCATAAAAACAAGTGACTTTATTCAATTACTCCCAAAAGTTAAATAATAGCAAACATCAAAGCTAACTACTACTTGCTAGGCAAAATCCGTATATATTATCCTTACAGCATCAAACCAGCCACTCATTATGCATCTCATCCAGCCAACCTGAACTGGCAGTTCACTCCTGGTTACCGCTAAGCCCCATCTGACACATTTTATCATATACTAGTTTGTCAAGGGGATGGCTGAGCAGTATGGACTCCTTGCATTTATCATGTATGAGGGTACCTACTTAACCTCTTCATTATCCCAGTGCAAGTGCATCACATGTCCACACTTTAACTGCTCAAACAAGACAGTATAGCAGTAAAATAGCAAATGTAACCATCATCAAATATGTACTAGAACCACTATTGCTCCCTACTGCATGTAAGTGAGATATTCACCAATCACACCATACAGTACATACAGTACAGAGAAAAGCATCTCTAATCCAAATTTAAATTAATGATCAAATCATATGTATAATTCCAATTTAATCCACTATATCTCTATTAAACCTAATAGCCGTATAA